TGTGTGTGTGTGTGTGTGTTAATTGTTAGAAGAAAGAATTTGAAGAGGAGGGGGAATAGTGAAATAAATAGAAAGGCCACTTGTGTTCAGCTTCATTAAGGTGCAAGTTAACATTGGTTCTTCAAAATCTACTGCCTGTGGGTTAACAACACACTAGTGTTTAATATAGGCCAAATATTCAGTGGTTTTGTGAAAATGTATTTCTCTGTCCTTCCTTTGAACCACTGTTTATGTTGTTTTCCAATATATTTCAAGTTCTTTTTTTCCTCCTTCGTTGGATCTGCTTCTACTTTGGGAGCTCCTTCCTTATTTTGGTTTTTATAAAGTTTCTCTTTACTATGGATTTATGTTCTAGTCTTCCAAGGAGGACCCATTCTGCCACTGAGCCACAACCCTAGCCCAATAACTATGCTAAAATAGTTATTGGCCAGGGAATACCTAAATTATACCCTACACCTAAATTCTACTCTACAATTGTAAAATCAGGTGTAGAATCCCATTGCCCTTGAACTTTGAAAAGTTTGTGCTTACAAATTTCAAATCACATAGACTCTGACCTGTCAAACTGTCATTCATGCAAAGTGAATATAGAAAATACTCCTTGCCTGTACTGTAGTTTTAGTTCTGTACTAAAAACTTAGGAATGAAACATATCTTTTTTATATAATGACCAGAATTGAAAATTCTTTTGTTGAATTTCCCTATTGATCTCAGAGGATGAACTTATTATGTTAACCAGTGATACAGTATACTGGTAAATGTTTAATGACTGGCTTCAGAGTGGAGAGTGGGGTACAAGAGAGCCCAGATTTGTGGCATTTACTGATTCCCATAGTTTAATTTCTCCCACCATGGCCAGTTTCAAGTTACCAAGTTAATGAAAGTGGAGTTGGCAAAAAATACACACAATTGAAAGTCACAAGATAGTGTAAACTAGCTCCAGTTTACCACTGGAATTTAGATTCAAAGTATATTAGTTTGGGTCTGTGTAGATTTATAAGCTACATACAGTATTAATCAAAATGGGATAGCTATCACAGTTGTTTCATGTTACACATGGGCTTTTTCCCTGCTATGCAATATAGTCGCTGGCACTGAAACACTTCAAAATGTTTTACTGGGCACCAACTTTTTAACTTTTATAGTGCAATTTGTATATTATTCAGAAGTAAACCAAAAAAAATTGCTCAGGGATCTTGATGCCTGCTTTAACAGCTTTTGAAGGAGGATCTTTATTATATTTATAACACATGAAAATAAACCAGAAATCCTTTTTTTAAACTTAACTAATGTACCAAATTTTGGGTCCAAATTGCATAGAGTAAGTTAAATTAAATTGCATTATAATAACCATTTTGAGTATCTTTCTGTATGCATATTTATATTTAAATATACTTTTAAAACAAATTTAGAAAAATTTCCATCAAGATATTAAATAAAACTCTTCTAAAAGTCCTATTACCCAGCTCAACTCACAATAGCTAAACTATGAAACCAACCTAGGTACCTTTCAATAGATGAATGGATAAAGAAACTGTGGTATATATACACAATGGAATATTACTCAGCTTTAAAAGAAGAATGCAATTATGGCATTTGCTGGTAAATGTATGGAGCTGGAGTATATCATGCTAAGTGAAATAATCCAATCCCAAAACTCCAAGAGCTGAATGTTTTCTCTGATATGCAGATACTAATTCACAATAAGGACAGCAACTAGGGAAGAATAGAAGTACTTTGGATTAGACAGAGGGGAGTGAAGGGAAGAAAGGGAGTATGTGGGTAGGGAAAATAGTAGAATGAATCAGATATTAATACCCTGTATGCATATGTGATTACACGACCAGTGTGATTATAC